ACATCAAACCTTTTGCAAAAAAAGTTGCCGCGGCCACGGACTTGGACTTTGCCATCATCCTGGAGCCAGACGCCATGGGGAATCTTGTATCTCAAAGAAAAGATCAAGAGTTCGCCAATCGAGTTGCCCCTTTGTATGAAAGGGCGATTGCCTATTCAATCATGTCGCTGCAGTTCTCGCACATCAGTCTGTATATAGACGCGGCGAACGGTGGGTGGCTCGGATGGGACGATACTCTTGGGCCCAGTAAGTGTGATTCCAGTCCCATGATATACCCGTCATTAACACATCACAGCTGCCACCGAGTTGGCCAAAATCTTCAAGATTGCCAAGGACGCTTCGAAGGGTCGCACAATCCAGATTAGGGGATTCTCAACCAACGTGTCCAACTTCAACTTGTTCAACGCCAAGGGCCCGGAACCATATACCGTGCCGTCAAAGTCGTGGGATGAGTCCCACTACATCTTGGCGCTTGTTCCGTATCTCAAACAGGTGGGGCTACCGTTGCGATTCATTGTTGACCAGAGTCGCAATTCTGTTCCAGGCAAAAGAAAGTCGTGGGCGGACTGGGGCAATCTCAACCCTGCCTCGTTTGGGATACGTCCTGGAACACCTGTGGGAAACCAATACGTGGACAGCATCGTCTGGGTGAAACCCCCGGGCGAGAGTGATGGACAAAATATCACAGGGGGGTTCCCAGGAGCACCAAAGGCGGGAGTTTGGTTTCCCCAGTATGTTGAGATGCTGTTCAATAACACCAAGTTTTGAGACGTATCTCAAAACGGAGACCGAGCGCCACCGTACACATTTTGGTCATTCAATAGTTTGAGTATTGCTATTTATATATTTATCTATTGCGATTTGTACATATAACTATATTCTCAATCCTACGAATTGTTATGGGCTCGAGATTTAGGCTCGTGCCAGTAAGATAAGGGACGCCACGCGACCACGGAGGCCGAACAGGCCCGGAGTGTAGAGAGGGAACTTGCTTCTTATGTTTATCAATACTCTCACATGGCGCCCATTGAGCATTCACATTGGGACCAGCCTCATTACACTAATGATTGCATAATATCCCCCTAGAGCAGTTTAGAAGATAATTTTCTAAAGATAAATATTCAGTATTTATTTTATTAGTAATAATGTCTTATTTTATTTATTAGGTCTAATTTAATAAGAAAGACGGATGTTTAGTACTACCTTTTACTACCTTATACATAAGGCAGATAGATACCTTGGCCAAGCTGAATCTTTAGTAAAGAATCTTGTGTGCGAATAGCAATACTCAATAGGTTACCTTGCCCAAGAGCCATTGTCAATTTCCAGCCATTTATTAGATCACAAAATTGAGACACCACGCGCACCCAGTTACTTGGAATTCAGCGTTGGTTTCCCGTTGTCTTCCCGTTGTCTCGAAGCCCGTTCCAGGATCGCACGTCCTTTTCGCACGTCTCCCGCACGACACTCGACACTCGTCAAAGGTTCAATCAGGGTGCCGGATCAACATGAGGACCATCGGTGACACCCACGAGAGGTCAATCTGGCATGGGAGAGGAAGGTGCTCGACCCAGCAATGGGGTTAGAGTTTGAAGGTTTTCCCAAATCGGAACTACATGTCCGAATCCGGAAGCGGCTCTAGCGGCTCTGTCGACGAGCCCCACCCGCCGACCCAAAGGGTGGTGCGCCCGCTTGAACCACCATCGCAGCAAAAATGAATATCACGGAACCGCCTGGCGACGGATCAAATAAATCATCAAAAAATTAGCAATTATACGTTTCGATCGTACGACCTCCGGGTTATGAGCCCGGCGCGCTTCCACTGCGCCAAATTGCTTTGTTTTTAATTGAGAATAGTTTGCAAACATACCGTTATATGCCTCAGCGATGCGTCACAGACCCGCTCGCGTGTGTCACAATGGGCCACTGGCATGGCGTGCAGCCCCTCCACCAGGTGAACTAGCGTGTACAGACGTACCGTGGCCAGTCACTGTGTTCGTATTGAGGATCGCTAATAACCAGGAACGGCGATGCTAGGGTACGGGAATCTGCAGTTGGGCATTCGTCAAGTGTGCCGACATGGTCTGGGAGAGTCAGAAACTCATCCAACTTGGGAAAGTCAATAACTGTTAGGTGAGGGAATCAGAGTAGATTTATGTTTATTGACAAAGGCAAGTTCCGAGTCTAAAAGTGTACCCTTTGACAGCGCACATTGTTGGGACATTAGTTTAGCTGAGGCTTTGGTGAAAAAGCTTGTACTTGTATGAGAATGTCAATACCCAATAATTGGCTCATTGTTCGGCAACTCCGAAATAAAATTCTCTGTCGTACCCAGCTTGTGATTGAGAAATTCGATGCAGGCTCCCTGATACTGTGGTCCCATCAACACACCCAAGGACTCTTCAACGTGGGGAGCGAGTGTCGTGAACCCCACTGTGGCAGACTCACACTACCCCGCTACAGGACTACCCATGAAGGTGAAAACAAGCTGGCCGTTTCCAACGCAACAAAGCAATTTGGCGCAGTGGAAGCGCGGTATGTTCACACTTGAATTATTCGATCATCGGTTCGAGACTAATTCATCCCAGCCGGGCTCATAACCCGGAGGGTAAGCCTACTCTTCGACTCCAGATGTCGCGACACGAGCTAACTCAGTACATCAGTCGCACGATCGAAACGTGCAATTGCTAGCCTCACACCACTTCGAGTGGGTTCTTTTTTATCATTTTTAGTGGTTTTATCGTCGTTTTATTACTCTACTGGTTGACCTTTTGCTCGAACAGTGGGAGTAGAGCCTGGACCGAACATAGAACACACGGGGAACGAAGTTGGCAGTCAACAGCTGGCAACAGTTGCCCTCTAAAGCGCCCGCGTGAGTTGACTCACTTGTGGCTTTGGTGGCGTGGGGCCTCCCAGTTTCCTGGCCATCTTACTTTCGCCATCAAGGAAGTATTGGATAACATTCACAGACAATAAAAAAGTAACAGGGTTGTGTTGACGCAAAAAAATGAATGCCTCGAATGAGTTTCCTGTTTAGCAATTGCACGTTTCGATCGTGCGACTGATGTGGTGTGAGTTGTTGTTTGACTGCCTAAAGTTGAATGAAAGACGTACCCTCCGGGTTATGAGCCCGGCTGATATCAGTCAGTAATGAATTTACATTTCTTGAGAAGAGATCAAGAACATACCGCGCTTCCACTGCGCCAAATTGCTCTCGTGATGCGGAAGGTCTGTCACTATTGCCATACTTAGTGCAGGTGGTAAATGTGGGAGGGTGCATGCCCTGATGGAGTCCATTTCGTCTCAAAAATGATCAGGGATCTAAATTATGCCACAGTTTAGGTGCATTCGCAACAACTTTGAGTACTGAAACTTTAATTCCTAGATATAATTATGTCTCGACCTGAGCATTATACTTGGTGCGGCGCGGTATTGTGGTGGCACCACGTGGTGGCAACACAGGATGGCTTCAATGAGCCGCCTCATGCATCATCGCTGGGCCGTGCATGGCCCTGTGGATTTTACCGTGGTTAACAACTAGGCAAAACAATCAAGTATGGGTAATAAGAGGGTCAAGGGGATGAATTTGGTGTCTTTCTATAGTATAAATATTGAAAACAAAGTCTTTGTCGGAGAGTGAGGCCCTCTGTCACTATGGTGTCAAGGCTCGATATTCGTATTACATCTCTCCCTCTCTATCGCTTTGGATATCGTCCTTACACGCATCTCGTTCAAGACTCGATGGGCTAAAAAGATGACGGGGCAAAGCAACAACGATTTCCCTCTCTAATAAAAAAAAAGAAACTGCCTCGGATGAGGCGTATTGCTTAGCAATTGCACGTTTCGATCGTGCGACTGAATTCGGAGTCAGTTAACGCTGATCGTTTATGTATCAGAGTTGAATGTGAGACGTACCCTCCGGGTTATGAGCCCGGCTGGAGCAAGTTAGTATTCGAACATGTGCAACAGACTTGGACTCTGAACATACCGCGCTTCCACTGCGCCAAATTGCTTTCTTTGATGGAGGGTCTTCTCGCCAAATCCCCGTTATCAACATGCCATGATGCCCTAGCCCTTAGCGGAGACGAGACTCCATTCCTGTGTGGGGCATACGCTTGCAGCTCACGCGATCAATGACGAGCTTCGTGATCAATGCAAGCCAGTTCCGATTTTGAAATCGCATTTCTGTGATATCTCGACCACATTCCTTACTGGCAGTCATCATTTCGGTTCTTCGAATTGTGTGATTCTGATGTCCTAGGTTGCCAATGTCCCCTGTTCGTGGTAGGTCCTGCTTCAAGTCGACCTACCCGAGACCTCATGCCAACCAATTTCGAGAGACACAGCAACTATCGATTGCTTGATTTATAGAAGGAAAAAACGAGGAGAGGGGTGAGTGACTCGATCATCTGCGAGTGACGACACTTGAATATGCTGTCCGAAAAAGACAAGTGTTGGCGATGGTGTTTTTAACATTTGTTCCGGACTGAGACAGAGTGCAACAGGGTCATACCCAGCTAAAAGTAGTGATTTAGCGAACGTACATAAACAGCAACAACACCAGAAAATGCCTCCTGTATATCTCACGCCCCCAATCCCAGTAATACCACTAAATAGAAGCAGAAAGAGCATGAGACACGATTTCACACAATTTTTACAGTGGTGGCGCAAGGACTATAGTGGGCGATGCGACCAGTCGGGTAGCATATACAGCCCTGGTTCTCTTCCCCACATTGGTGCCACCATATGCTGTAATATTTCCCCGACTTTCACCCAAATAGTCACTTTGGCGGAGTGGTTAACGCGCAGCCCTGCTATCGTCTGAGTTGTCTGACTTGATGCAAGTTGTTCAATATCGGTCTCAAGGAAGGCTGTGACTTCGGTCGCGTAGGTTCGAATCCTGCAGGTGACGATTCTTTTTTTTGCACCCTGCTTTACGACAGATAGTCTCTTTGACAGGGTGTCCTTGACTCCTGATATTTCCTGAATTGTCATTCATAGTCACTTTGGCGGAGTGGTTAACGCGCAGCCCTGCTATTGACTGAGTAGATTTAAGTTGGTCTATGTAGGCATAGAATAGGCTGTGACTTCGGTCGCGTAGGTTCGAATCCTGCAGGTGACGACTGTATCTTTTTGCCGCTTGTTCTTACAGTATTCTCATCACTATCAACACCGTGTCCTTGGGGCTGGATATTTGCGACCTCGATATCGAACAGTCACTTTGGCGGAGTGGTTAACGCGCAGCCCTGCTATATCCGATTGATTAGAATTGATTCAGTCGGTCCTAGGAAGGCTGTGACTTCGGTCGCGTAGGTTCGAATCCTGCAGGTGACGATCTTATTTTTTGCTCACTTTTGTTGTCCTTCCTCCGCTTGCACGTTGTCCTTGGGACCCGATACTTCGTGAACTTGCATCAATAGTCACTTTGGCGGAGTGGTTAACGCGCAGCCCTGCTAGTGTCCAAACATGATCCTCGTTGATCACTGTAGGTCCCAGGAAGGCTGTGACTTCGGTCGCGTAGGTTCGAATCCTGCAGGTGACGAATGTTTTTGCTTCAATTTTTTTTGGTTAGAATGTATGTTGTCGTAGTGCGTTCTCCTATGTCCTCCTACGTCCTTAACCGCCTGGTATCCCTTGCTCATTATATCAATACTCTGTACATCCCTCCCGAACTGGAACCACTGGAAAGAACGGGGCTGGAGAGGCTGAAGGAAGAGGGAAAGAGAGAGAGATGAGCGAACTTCGCCTACTATACGAGACTGCCACCTACCGTATTCAACCCAGGGGCTGGAGCCGGATGTACCTGCGAGGTGAGTGCGACGAGCCGGGCTATGGCACCTGACATAGTGGTGGTAACGGCTGTTATCTATCCCCCAGATTAGAGGACTAAGTTTGGGCGAATATGGCCGGCGTGGGAAAGCCTCGAAGGGACCTCCCATGGTATGTGCGTGTTGCTCAGGATGCGGTTCCGAAACGTCGTCCGTAGACCACGCCCTGTCCCACGTGGAGCGTCGGTGTTTCTGGGTAATAATCTTTCTTTCCCTACTGGTCTTAATTTGGCGGAGGCTCTTGTTCTTATGAGGGCCCCCCTTTAAAGTTGAACGTCGACTTTTTGAAATAGTTCTCGGGTAATAGTAACCTGAGTAAGATTGAATTTGGACTATTCATTCAGCCGCGTCCTCTTTTTTCCCAAGAGATTTGGTCTGCGAAAAGAGGGGGGTGGGGAGGGACTGACTGTCAGTATGGGTCTTGCAGAGATGATCTTTGTCGTCTGCAGGTGAATACACACCTCAATATTCGACTTCTGACTGCAGTAAAAGACGAAAGCGCAGAGTATCTTGATTTAAAGCCATTCTACTTTATACATCTATTTTAATCCCCACAGTCCACTTGACATCGGCATCACTTCTATTTTCTGTAGCATTATCAACACTGTCACAACTCTACCCTTCCGGGGTTTGCTATGTCTATAACAATGATTTGTAGCGGATTCTCTTCCTTTTCAAAGTTCCATCATTCACACATCGTTGGTCACTATTCGTTCATTTTCACGTTTCTGCGTAGTAATGCCAACGACTAATGACCTTTGTACATCGAACGCCCAAGTATTCATAGAGGAACTGACCGTGATAGAAGAAGGGGGAGAATAAAAGGCCATGGCGGCAGCGGCAGCGACATTGCGAGCGGAGATGACATCGTCCCAAAGTCCGCCAGCGCTCGAGGGTGAAAGAAGTCGAGGTGAGTGGCGGCGAATGCAGTAAACAACCCATTCGTCTATATGGCAATGAGTGCGCACACGAACAACAATACTTACTCACACGAAACATTTACGGATGTTAAACATATTGGGAATATGGTCCTGGCTATTGAGGATACACGTGTGGTTTGTGGTTTGAGAATGAAAACCGAGACGGTGGATCGATCACGAAGCGTCATACGGTTTGCAAACTCAGCCTATATAAAGAGAAACTCTCAGCAGGGAACGTAACAACAAGAGTCACTTTGGCGGAGTGGTTAACGCGCAGCCCTGCTAAGGCTGTGACTTCGGTCGCGTAGGTTCGAATCCTGCAGGTGACGTTTCTTTTTGCTCTTTTTGCATTCCTTTCCATGACACAGCTTCGCAAGCATTGTGTACCGTATCCACAAGTGTCATTCTGATATTATGACAGTTCACAAACGGCCGCTGAAGAACTGAGAAGTCATGTCTGAGTTCTTGGTACCGGATGGAGCACGAACGCGACGTTACTCTATTGGTTATGATCCCTGCTTGCCCCGACTAAAAGCGCATCCCCTGTCGGCCTGGCTCCGCGCAGGGGAAGCGCTCCAGCCACTCGAATTTACGGTGAGGGAGGACCCCGTGGATCCAACGCCTGCTCTCTCTCTGGACTGACTTGCATTCACGCATCCTGCATATTGCATCCCGCACCTCGCGTCCGCACCGGTTCTTCTCTCTCATAACACCGGCATAAACGAGAGAGGGGATTCAGACAAGCGAATCCATTCGGTTGCGCGATCGTACTCGCACAACTGTTCTGTTTGTTGTCAATTGACACGCCATTTCTTTCCCCGCTTGACCCAGCCTCGTCTCACTCACACAACGCCCACCAAGAAGATAGAGAGAGAGAACCTCTTGCAACTCTCTCCCCTCTCGCAACAACACCCAGAACCCGCAACCATGGGCTTCCTCGACTCGTTCAACGACGGCGCCTCCATCATCTCCGGCCGCTCTTCCCGCCACAAGAAGCGCTCTCACAAGAAGCGCCGCTCGGGATCCCGTTCGCGCTCGCGCTCTAGTTCGCGCAACCGCCGCACCAGCGGCCGCTCCATCGCCGGCTCCATCTTCGGCGGCGACAGCCATGACCGCCATGACAAGCATCACTCGTCCCGCGGCTCGTTCTTCGGACTCGGCGGCAACACCAGCCGCTCCAGCTTCTTCGGTTCCAGTATGTTTCCCTCTCCACCTCTCCACCTCGCGCAATATCGCCTCTCGCAAGGACCACCTCCCACCAGATGGATCCCCCCGAACATGGTCCCACGAGCATAATGAGACAGGGACCTCCGATGAATTCCAACCGCTGACCACTGTCTCCACAGACCGTTCGTCATACTACAAGCGTTCTCCCCGCCAGGGCTTTGTCCAAAGGTCGTTCAAGCAAGTGAAGCGTCTATTCCGCGACCTGGTCCATTGGGCCAAGCGCCACCCCTGGAAGGTCTTCTTCCTGGTCATCATGCCCCTCATCACCGGCGGCTTCCTGACCGCCCTGCTCGCTCGCTTCGGCCTGCGCATCCCGCCCATGATTGAGCGCATGTTGAGCACCGCGTCCAGGGCCGCATCTGGCGACTCCGTTGGCCTCGTTGGCGACGCTGTCCGCATGGCCTCTGGTGGTCTGGGCGGCGGCTCGTCTGGTGGTGGCTTGGCCGACATGGCCAAGAAGTTTATGTAACGGAATATAAAGTACACTGTGCGGCAAGACCTTGCCCTAGAGACCTTTGTTTTTGGAAATTGTGGGCGTTATGGATGGCATATTGATTACCTTGTTTCTTGCGTCCTGGGTGGCTTCATGCGCGGCCCTGCTTGCACCTTGTGCTCGACAGACAGACTTTGTTCTCACGTAAAGACAGACCAGGTAGAACCTGTACACAATTGATGATTGATGAATTAGATTGCAAGTCACCCAACTCCTATCAACATGAAACATGACACCAGACACCTGCGTTGTGCGGGTGCAAAGCTAGTTTCATCACTATATTCATTAATAGTTTTGTATCAATCAACCCAGCTGTCCACCCTTGCCATTCAAGTGCCTAATCTACTCTACCCGGTCATCCCCAAACAACCGCCGACAAGGGCATATCATCCAATCTCCACCCCTCTTGTCCCATGTCCAGAGAAACCAACGTCTCTCTCCCTCTCCCTCCCCCTCCCCGCGAACCCCGACTCAACCATGGGCCATTGTTACTGGCTAGGGAGCCAGGGCTCGCTTGTGCCAAGTACCAAATGCTGTTCATGCTATCATTAAAAAACGCTGCGCCCTGTCCCTTTACTGAATAATAGATCCTTCCATGGGGCCGTGGTGCAAATCAGTTTGCCACGTACCCCAGTCGAAGCCTGTGCGCTCGCGTCTGGACCTAGCCGACAACAGCTTGTAGCCGAAGCAGGGATGACTGGATCTTTCGCGAGCGCAAATATGAAATGTGCTGTACATAATATCCATATACAATCGTGATGACATGGTCTGGAAAACGACCAATGCCTACTGTGGTGTGTTGAGAGCCTCTGTTGGACTGTTCTATTTGGATGCGCTCTCCTTGTGATGGGGCTTCCAAAACTGCATCATACGACTCAGTCGCTTTGTCCGGCTGTTCTTGGACTTCTTGGAATTGGGCTCATTGTCCAATGTGACTTCCATCGAGAGCTTGCTGCGCTCTCCGTGTGAGCTGCTGATGAGCCGGCTGAGGCTGGCGAGACTTGATCGTCGCCGTCCGAAGGCTGTGGATGAAACCGAGACTGGTCGCAGCTCTCGCATCGTGGGTTGGGACATGCGCTGACCCGGGATGAACATGCTGTCTCGAGTCATGGTCGAGTTGCTTGATGTCAGCGAGGGGATGTCGTAGTCCATGGAGATTCGGACCTCGGGTCCAGGCTCCCCCATCAGAAGCAAAGACTGGAAGTTGTTCTCGTCCGTGATCGACGACGGTGCTGTAGAGATGCGCTGTACTTCCACTGACATGGGTGACCTGGGCGATGGGAATGACGACGAGTGACTGATTGCGTATGGACTGTTGGGAACATTGGCCGGGGTAGGGAGATGGATGGGGCCAATGTCCACTGGAGCAAGGTCTGTGTTGCCTGATAATCTCCGCAGGGAGGGCGTGGCAGACTCTGAGGCGTCGCCCCGATCCAAGAACATGTTTGCAGTTCGGAAGATTACACTTGGCATCTCCTCAACAATGATGCTGTCGTGCAGTGAAGACTTTGATCGTTCTGCTCGGACGGAACCCACTGCCGACTGTTCCTTGTCGCTGAGGCTCGAATTGGTTCGCCTCATGCTCTGGGCAGAGCTGTGAGTCGACATCCTGTCCTGGACGTCAAGCATGGGGTCTTTTGTAAAGACTGCTGGG